GATTTTCAGCCAGTTTAAGGCAATTTTTTCTAGCTTTTCCTACTATTTCCAAAAAAAAAATCAGGGGCTATTTTTAGAAAATTCACATTTTGGCTCCCATTTTTCTCGAATTTTGAACACACGGCCAATTTTCAGCTAATAGTCCAAAATAGTGTTTTTTTCAGCTGAAAAATTACAATTTCCGGCTGAAAATGCATTTTTTATATTGTCATTTTTAGTCCAAAATTCTGAATTTTCAGCAATATTGATAGCCTTAGAGAAACTGAAAAATCGGGCAGTTTTTAGTTTTCAACTTTTAGATTCCGAGTGTGACCGTATCACTATTTGGAGTACGGTAGATGAGAACGAATGGGAAGGCAATGAAAATTTAAATGAGCAATGCTCATTTGGTGTAATTGGCTTGGAAATTATAGAAAAAATGTCGGAATTCGAAAAACGAAAATTCCAGAAATTTCGACTGAAAGCATAGAAAAATCTCGTCTAAATTTGGCTGAAACAGCTAGCTAAAATCTGCGAATTTCGAGAAAATAAATCAAAATTAAAAAAATTAATTTTCAATTTCAAATTAAAAAATCTTGAAAAATCCGAAAAATCTGCCCTTATCCTTCCCAAAAATCGACCAAAAAAAAATCTGAAAATCGATTTTTTTGAAAATTCGAAAATTCTAAAAATTGGGATTTTACAGGTGGAGAATTCGGCGATACAGGTAATAACGCATGCGATTTCTTTTTATTGTGATGTGAATTTTATATTGGACCAGAATTTCAAAAAACCCAGCAATCGCGCTCTAATCGGAACAAGCGAGATTGCTCAAAATACCGTAAAACCTGTAATAGAAGGGCCCTCCCACACTGTAAAGTTTGAGCTCAATTATCTCGTTTCCTCTAAGGAAATATCATAGTGGGAAATGGGCCGGCCCGCCATCTGCCCGGGCCGACCCGTTGCAACTATGAGAAATATCGAAACGTTTTCTACTCTACTGATATTATGATAAACAATTTATCAGCTAAATAAATGAGCCCGAAGTTGAAAGTAAGGGGGCCCTTCTATTACAGTTTTCACGATAATAACAACCCAACACCTCAAATTTTTTTAAAAATTCATACCAGCATGTATACAGTAATCGTTCAAAAAAAGTCCCAAAGTGACTAAGAACTTGTCCGTTTGGTTCTGAAAAATTTCAGATTTCCCGACCAAACGGACAGATTCCCAGTCATTTTGGGGCTTTCTTTTTGGCTAGTAATGCACTGTTGCCCCTTTGTTTGGTTTCTCTTTTTTGAGGAGCACTTTTTGATGGCTTGCCACCGAAAATTGCTTTTACAGTAACCCTAAAAACTAAATATTCAAAAAAAATGGGCCAATTTTCCAGGCGTCGCCTCACCAACGGGAACCTCGTTCCACTCGCCGGGACTCGTCTCCGCCAGTCACCCCGCCCATCGATACAAGCCAATTCTGGCTCATTCCATTGAGTTGTACTCGAAATTGGAAGAAGAGACTGGAGTGGTAAGATTTGATTCTGAAAATTGGCGGAAATTGGCTGAAATCGACTGAAAATCAGCTAGAAATAGACTGAAAGTTGGCTAGAATTGGCTGTAAATCAGCTGAAAATTGGCTAAAATTGAGCTGAAAACCGGCTAAAAATTCAACTGAAAATTGGCTAAAAATCAGCTGAAAATGCCATGAAAAGCAGCTGAAAACCGGCTAAAAATGAGCCAAACATCATGAAAATCGCTTTTAAAAATTAGATAATTAGCTGAAAATCCACTGAAAATCCTCTGAAAATCTTCTAAAATCGGTCGAAAACTTTTTTTTGTTCCTAATCGAAAAACTGGCTGAAAAGGAGCTGAAAATAGTAGAATCCTGAAATCGTATTTCTCGATTAAAAATGACAATTTTCAGTCTAAAAAACTGGCTGAAATTGTCTGAAAAAGCTATGAAAATCTCAAATTTTCCTGATTGAAAAACTAGAAATTTACAAGTTTTGGCTTGTAAGCTGAAATTTTGATTTGAGTGGTGAGCCAAAAATTGCCTAAAAACCAATTAAAAATGAGCCAAAAATGGTTTTGAAAAACCAAAAATTATGCATTTTGCTCCGAAAAATCCGAAAATGAGCTTAAAATTGGCTAAAAATCGACTGAAAATCATCTAAAATCGTTCGAAAACTATTTTTTTTTTCATCTAGAAAAACTGGCTGAAGAGGTGCTGAAAATCATGGAAAATGTGAATTTCTATGAAAAACGGCTCCTGAATTCATATTTTTCGCAAAAAAAAACTGGCTGAAAATGTCTGAAAAGCGATCAAAATGTTGTAATTTTGAAGAAAAATTTTTAAAAAATTCAGGTTCTAGCTCAAAAATTAGCTGAAAAAATGTACAATTTTTGAAAAGCGAAAATTAGAGACTGAATTTCAGTTTTGTCTGAAAATCTCCATATTTAATATTTTTGCAGAAAATTGACTTCCAACCAACTGGAACGATTCGTTTGGCGACGAATGAGACTCGTCTGGCGGAATTCCGCAAATATGTGAACCGTGATTATTATAAGGTAAAAATGAACGTTTGCAGTTGATAAGGCTAATTTTTGAAGCCAAAAATGAGAATTTTGGGTCCAAAAGGCCTGGAAACCATAGAAATTGGCTTAAAATTCCAAGAAAAACGCCCAAAATCGTTTCTGGATGATGGGATCCTTCGATTTCTAGTTTTAGGAAAATTTCCAGATTTTTGGAATTCTCATTTACGGAGGACTCTTCCATTACAGGGATCCTTCTACTAGAGGGGGGCCTTCTAATAGAGGTCTTGTGGTATTTCTAAATTCTTAAATTCAACAGGAAGCAGGCGTCTGCAAAACCTCTGATTTTTTGGATTACCGTATAACCTGTAATAGAAAAGCCCCTCTAATAGAAGGGCCCTTCCGAGAGGGTCTTGGAAAAATAGAAGAGCCCCCTGTAATAGAAGGGCCCTCTGTGAAAAAAGGAGCCCCGTTCAAAATGTGTTTTGAAATCAGAAAATTTCCGTATTTTTTCAGTGGAAAACATCTCCGGAACTCCAAAATTAAATTTTGGGGAAATTGGCAGATTTTCATGAATTTTGAACGAAACTTTACCGAATTTTCGATGGAAAATTTCGGAAAAAAACTGGTCGGAAAAATAGAAGGGCCCCTGTAATAGAAGGGCCCTCTCCGGAGGTAGTTTGGAACAATAGAAGTGTCGGCCCTTCTAATACAGGTTTTACGGTATTTATTTCTAGGATTTTCATTTTTAAGATACCTTGGATTTCTGAGGTTTCCAGATTCTGAATTATCTAGTTCCTAGAGTTTTATGAATATGAATTTTACTGGTTTTGAAGATTATTAGATTCTCACAATCAGAATTATCGATTTTATATTTATCTCTTCAGGAAGGAGACGTCTGCAAAACGACGCTCCTCACCCCGGACCAAGTGCGCGAACTCGCTCCAGCCGTCGACCATTCTCGAGTTTTGGGCGCCCTCCATACCACCAACGACGGCACCATCTCGGCTCGAGCTCTCACTCAGGCTCTCGTCGTTGGAGCCAAAGCTGGCGGAGCACAAGTCATCGACGGAGCGATTCCACGAGAAATTCGATATGATAAGGAGAAGGGGCACTGGATTGTGGCACTGGAGGATGGAACACTCGTTACCACAAGGAATCTGATTAACGCCGGTGGAATTTGGGCGAATGATATTGCGAGACTCTCGGGACACAATTTGCCGGTTGTGGTTGTCGAGCATCAGTATGCTGTGCTGACGGTAAGGGAGATTTTTTGTTCCGTCGGTCTTGGACTCTTACTTAAATAACTCAAACGGCCGTGGAACGCTTCATGCTCATGGTGTCCTGGGCCTTCTAGCTTAATAGGAAACCTGAAGGGCTGAGAATCGAAAATTTGAAAAAGTCACACAATTCTAAAATTTTAATAAAACTAGGTCACGACCTAATTTTTTCTAGGTCACGACCTGATTTTTTCTAGGTCATGACCTACTTTTTTCTAGGTCATGACCTAATTTTTTCTAGGTATGACCTAGATTTTTCTAGGTCACGACCTAATTTTTTTCTAGGTCATGACCTAGATTTTTACAGGTATGACCTAATTTTATCTAGGTCACGACCTAGATTTTTCCAGGTCACGACCTAATTTTATCTGGGTCATGACCTAATTTTTTCTAGGTCATGACCTAATTTTATCTAGGCCGTGACCTAATTTTTCTAGGTCGTGACCTAATTTTTTCTAGGTCACGACCTGATTTTTTCTAGGTCATGACCTACTTTTTTCTAGGTCATGACCTAATTTTTTCTAGGTATGACCTAGATTTTTCTAGGTCACGACCTAATTTTTTCTAGGTCGTGACCTAGATTTTTTCAGGTATGACCTAATTTTATCTAGGTCACGACCTAGATTTTTCCAGGTCACGACCTAATTTTATCTGGGTCATGACCTAATTTTTTCTAGGTCACGACCTAGATTTTTCTAGGTCACGACCTAATTTTTTCTAGGTCATGACCTAATTTTATCTAGGTCATGACCTAATTTTTTCTAGGTCACGACCTAATTTTTTCTAGGTCATAACCTAATTTTTTCTGACCTAGTTAAAACCTATCGGATTTTGAAAAAGACTCTTGTTGAAAACTGTCCAAGAATCGAGAAAAATGGGACCAGAAGAACTGAAAAAAAGGATTCAAGACATTTTTAGACGATATTTGGCCAATTTTCCAACCAAAAATTCTCTATTTTCAGCCCAACAAGACACCAGACAACACACCAGCCATCATAGATCACGACTCCACATTCTACGTGCGTAAATCAGGAGATGACTACCTTTTCGGAGGATTCGAACCCCTCGAAAAGACCGTAATCCGTGAGGATTGGTACAAAAAGGGTGTCCCAACCGAGGGATCCAAATCCATCAAAGCCGATTTCTCTCGCCTGGACGATGCTTACAAACGTGCTTGTGACCTGATTCCCTCCCTAGAAGGAGCTAAAATCGACGCACGTGCCGCGGTATTCTCAATGACTCCAGATGGATATCCCCTAGTTGGACCATACGATAAGAACTATTGGATGTCCACTGGATTTTTGGATGGAGTTTCCAGTGGTGGAGGTATTGGCAAATACCTCGCAGATTGGATTGTGGATGGAGAACCGCCGGCAGAGTTGTTCGACACGGATGCGAGTAGATATGAGAGATGGGGAGATCGGAAATTCTTCACCGAGAGATCTCGTGAAACGTATTCGATGTACTATAATTGGTCGTATACGGATCGTTTGGCTGGAAGACCGACCGATCGAATTAGTGGAGTTTATGGACGGCTCAAGAAGGATGGAGCGTCGTTCTCGTTTAGGTATGCTGAAAGAGTCTGAAATTGTCTGAAATTGGCTTAAAAGATGCATAAAGTTGTCAAAATATCAAATGTTTAAAGAAATCCAAGTTTGGAAAAAGCTAAAATAGGCTGAAAATAAGCTGAAAATGACCTTAAAAATATTCTGAAAATTGTCTGAAATGGCCTTAAAAAATTGCTTGAAATAGCTCAAATTTCGTTTCAAAAGACCTAAAATTTGTTGCTCAAAGGTTGGAAATAGGCTGAAAATGATAGAAAACAACCCGAAATCAGTCTTGGCCGAAAATGGTCCAAATCTTACTAAAAATGCCAAAATTTTTTGGTTGAAAAGGTCCAAACATATCTGAAAATAGTTCAAACAATAGGCTGAAAATGGTCCCAAAATAGGCTTCAATCGATCTAAAATTCACAGGTTATTCGCGAACAATCCGTTACGGACGCTCAGTGTTTGCGCGCGGTTGAAATAGGAACCGTATACGGAACGCACGCGACCCGTTTTCAGAAAACCACAGTACATTATTTCGTATTCCTCCGTATTCTGTCCGTTCGCGAACTCCGTATCCGATCCGATTGCGAATGATAAACAAACGGATCCGTTCGCGAACATAAACTTTTGTCTGATTCGCGAACGGATTCGTTTGTCCATCCAAAACAGGCTTAAATTGATCTAAAATTGATAAAAAGCCACTCAAAACTCGTCTGAAACTGGCCGTAAACAGTCTGAGAATATGCTGAAAATGGTTCAAAATAGGCCGAATATGGTCCCAAGATAAGCTGTGAATGGCCCAGGAATAGGCTTAAAATGGTCAAAAATAGGCTTAATATAGTCCGAATTGACTGAAAATTGACAATAAATTGTTTCAAAAGCTCCAAAACAAGCTGAAGAAAATTGATTGAAAACAACCCGAAATTAGACTGAAATTGGCTGAAAATGATCCAGACTGGGTATAAAATGGTTCAAATTTGACTAAAAATGACAGGGTGGAAATTGATCAAAATAAGCTGAAAATGGTCAAAAAACGCTGAAAATGGTCCAAACTGAAACTAAAATAGTCCAAAAATAGGCTTAAAATAGTTCAAACAATAGGCGGAAAATGGTCTAAAAATAGTCTGGAAATTATCTAAAATTGATAGAAAACCACTCGAAATTCGTTTGAAATTGGCTGAAAATGGTCCAATACTCAAAAATGACTGGAAACGGTCTAAAATAGTCTAAATTTCAGCCTGAAATGGCCCTTACAAACTACAGTAATCCGAATTCTCTTCATCTGTAGATTGCTCATTTTTGAGCGTTTTAAAGCTGGAATTTGATGATTTTGAACAAATTTTGGAGCTTTAAAATCATAAATCAAGGGTCAAAAAGAGCTTTGGAGCTCTCATTTGATAGTTTAGAACCCAATTTTGAGCTCTAAAATCATGAAAAATGCCTCAAAACCCAATAATTCTGAATGTCTCATTTTCAGAAACGGCTGGGAAGTGGCGAACTCGTTCAATATGGGCGTCCAAAACGAGGAATACCTGCCAACGCTGATTCGTGAGTACGAAATGGTCACCAACAAATGCGGAGTCATTGATTTGTCATGGAAGGGAAAGATTGAAGTGAAGGGAAGAGACGCAGAGAAGCTCATGGATTATGCTATTGCTAGTCAGGTAGGAAGGACTGGGAGTTGGCTGAAAATCTGGGAAAAATGGGTCATTTTGGACAGTTTTGAGCCAATTATGACAGTTTTAATGCATCAAAATGTGTAGGACAATGTTTAGATAAACAGAGAAAAAATCTAAAAAATTGCAAAATTTCGAAAAAAAAACTCTGAAAAATTAGCGATTTTTCCATACTTGCAACGGGCCGGGCCGAGCCTTCAAAAAATTGGTCAAAGCCCGGCCCGGAAAGCCCGGAAGGCCCGGCCCGGGAGGCCCGGAAGGCTTGGCCAGTTGGCTCCAGCTTCGATTTTTGCGCAAACAAAGTGTGTTTTTTTTTGGGAAAAAGTTGTTTTTATCATCTAATTTTAAGCTAAATTGTAAATATTGAGTTTGTAAATGTTTAAACTAATTTTTGAAAAAATACATTTTTTCCTGAATTTTTCCGAAGTTGATATCAAAGAAAAATTGCATTTTTGAAGCAAAATAACAGGTTTCTCTCGAAAACTAGTTTTTTTGTTAAAAAATTCTCAATTATCAAAAAAAATTTTTTTGAGAAATTTCGACCAAAAAAATTCTTGTCCGGGCCTTCCGGGCCTGGCCGGGCTTTCAACGATTTTTGCAAGTATGGATTTTTCGAAAGATAAATGTATTTTTTCTTCCATTTTTCGCTAAATTTCCAGACCTTCAGGGTTTTTAGCTATTTTTGAAGATTCTTTTCCCGATTTTTCCGATTTTTTTTGTCTGAAATTTGATGGAACAGTGTTCTGGGTTACTGTAGATTACTGTAGAAAACGAATTTCCTCTGTATACTGTAGTTTTTTTG